ATTCCCACGAAAAGAATTCTTTTCACGAGCGGCGTGTCTCTGGGCGTCCCTTTGAAAGTGCTCGGCCAGTCGAGCTCGCCCTCCCGCCCTTCCAGCTCGCCTCTCTTCCCCGACCCCTTCCGCCCGACCGTCTCTCTGTTTAATGCAGTCCATTAGAGTGCATTTAGATCGAGGGATAGTTAAAGCGCAGGTACGCCGCCATCGGAAAATTGTATGTTGTGTGCCGCGCCGATAGGCGTGTGTACTTAGAAATGACATTAGTCGCGCGATCGTGCCCCCTCTTTGTCCTTTCGCTAGACTCTCTCCGTCCGACGGGAATGAACGCAAACGAGCAAATGGACGATCTTACGGCGATGATAAAACTCGCGGGATTAACATTGCGCCCATGAAGAAATTTTTCTAAATAATTAACGCGCCCTCCCCCGCTTCCTCCCACGCGCGCGTTTACCAAATGGTTATTTAATTCGCGCCTCAGTATTAGATGATTGATTTAATCATGTTGGAAATGACTATGAAATAATTGTTTCACGCGTTACGAATGTTAATTTGCAAATTAAATGAGAGAAGCTGATTACGGAAATATGTAGCCGACGTAGACAATCCACATGCGGTACTTGATTTAATTATACATCATTAATTCAGAACGTTTGTCATACTTTCGGCTCAAGTTAATTACTCATGTTGTAATATGTAAATGTACTCTGTCGAGAATTAATCATTATAGGGAAACTGAATCACGACGTTTCGCAAATAATAAATACCTAAAAGTTCATAAGCTGCGCGCGAGCGTTCGGCTTATCGTTGCATTTACGTTATTTCTTTTTTTTTTTTATTTTTTTTTTTATTTAAGCAAAGTAGTCGCGCGTGTTTAATGCATTTAGCAATATTATTAATAGCCGGGAATAAAGGTATTTCGAATATCTCAAATTACTAAGCGTCATGTGGCGATAAATTGTTGAAGCATAGATTGACGCAAATCGATGAAATGCACAATAAAAATATTACATAAAAAGTTGTGCACGATATTTTATTTCCGATAGCGCAAATTTTTTCACATGGGGTGAGGAGATTGAACTAGTTATTCGTAATATCGACGCCCGTGGCATCGAACGGATACACCGGGTGGTCTAAACGATTGTTATTGCTAGCGAACGCTCAATCTATGCGCCTCATTAATTCTTATAATTTCCGATGTTAAATAGCTCAACGATTAAGGTTTAAATAGACGCTATTTTCGACAAACGATGCATTATAAATCAGATGGAAGCTGAAAGCCGAACATTTATCGAGCGTTTCGATAAATTATCGATCCGAGATGTAATTTTTAATATTAAATGGCTCGTTAGGTCGCTCTCTCTGATGTCTATGAAAAATTGAGGGCTACTTCTGTAAGGTGTTGTATCGTTACATCCTTCTCGGAGACTATCCTCCTCGGAGCACCCTATATACGAAGGTGAAAATAGCTGTAGAAAGCGCGAGAGGCCGCCCCCGCCGGCGCTACTTAACTAAATGAATTCAATATCTCGGAATAAATACATTGATAAATCAGCCACTCCGCTAAAAGCTTACTTTGGCGAGCGCTCGCGAACGCGCGCAAACAACGTATGCGCTTGCGCGCACATGTATACATGCACACAGTCGGGCAGACATCTCGTCGCGAGGGAAAAAGAGGGAGCGGAGGAGAAAGAGAGAGAGAGAGAGAGAAAGAAAGAGAGAGAGAGAGAGAAAGAGAGAGCGGAGGGAAGAAGGGAGCGGGTGTACTTATAGAAGAGTGGT